ATTCAAGCTGTAACTCTAAAATTTTTTACAGTCCAAAATTTCAAGTAATGTTGATACAAAATATATAAAACTAAGTTTTATGGCGCTGAACCCTAAACTAATAAGCACCTGACCTTTAGATCACTCACAAAAAGTTTTATACTCACTTTGTATATAAATGGTTACTTTGTGAAATGGTTAACTCCTAATAGCCACTAAATTTACACTGTTTTAAAAATAAATAATAATTTTAAGGAGGAATGGTTATTTCTGAAATGTGATGAATTCAATAAAAAAGATTAGACAAGTATAAATTTATACTATATATATATATATATATATATATCTATTATATAAGTAACACAAAAGCCTTAAGAAACATTTTGTGCAAGTCCAAAGTTTGTTACCTCAAAATTTTAATATAATAGTTTTAAATCTTAGGTTGCCATTGATGAAAATATTACATCAACAGCATGGTTACACTTTATCTTTTGAGCTGTTCCTCATGTGAAGGGTCCTCTAAGTCCAAATTAATACCACACTTCAATTTAGTCCTAGCTAAACCATGGGGAATCCCAGGAAATGAAATCAAGATTAAGTCAATTCTGGAAACAATGTAACATGAGGAACTGTTAAAGCAGGAATATTTAGCCAGAAGTGTTGAATATGACTTTTTGAGGCGTTAGTGTTACTTAGTGTTAAATACACCAAAAAATGCTTCTCATTTGATGGGTTAGACTTCTACATCCCTCGAAAATAAAACTCTGTGATGCATACGCTTAAGTGAGAGAGAGGTATGTTAGTAATGGAAATACAGACTTTCAAACTGTCTAAATACATATCCATTCTCTTAGATGGGGACTTCCTGTGGAGAACTGAAAGCTACATGGCAGAAATTTTAGTGAGAGAAGTTGGAGCAAAGATATCTCTGATTTCTTTTCCAAGTCTCAGATTCTTTCTATGTGTAGAATTAGATAAAAGCAAGGGTTATCGGCGATCAGAGCTAGAAAATACTCTCCCTACATAACTATTTTGCTGTAAGTACTGTGGATGAAAAGATAAGTAATTTAAATTAGATACGCTAACTATAGAATTCTTCTCTTTCAACCTGTGCATCCACAGACTCACACACACACACACACACACACAAAAAAAAAAAAACCTAGGGAAACTGATACTTTATCTTCATCCTCTCTCATTGAAGAACAGGGGGTCACTCTACAAGTGTAATCAGTAAAGCCAATGGTATGCTCGACATCATTCACAAAGCAAGTAGAAAACAATAAAAAAATTGAGCAAGCTTTTTCAACCCTTGAATTTTGCACAGTACCTGGAATCAAAAATATGGTTGCAATCTTCACCTGTCAGATGAGAAGTAACAAAATCTAGAGTGGGTCCCCAAAAGGTAGAGGGATGAAGTTGTAGTCACTTGAGACTTCACTAAAATACTGACTGGCTAACCTTAAAAAGCAAAGGAGGGGCTTCCTCGAAGCACTGAGAACCTCTCTCCTCCTGGGGATGATGTGAGTATAAATCCCAAAAGGTTAGGATAATGGAAATCTGTTTAAAACTTTTACTGAGTTTGTTTTAGAACAAATAAAAAAAAATACACTTTCAAGAATCAGGTGGTTTTGCAAAAAAGTAGTAAGTGTAAAGAAATTCCTAAGCAATTCCTGCATAGAGTGTCCAGGACTCCCCACTTCTCTGTCCCTGTCCCAAAGGGCAATCTTGCCTTCCTTATTTACCAGTGGTGACTTTCTAGTGAGAACGCCCACCCTGGCCTGGATAGACTTTGGTGCTCAAAAAATAATAACATGCCTTCCCCTAAAAATATATTAGGATGCAGCTGGAAATGATGTTTAGTTGTTACATTTTATCTGATGTTCCATCTATGTTGGGCTTTGAACACCAGCAGGACATGATTTGAATTGTAACTGGCATTGAAGAGAATTAACAGTGGAAAACAGCACCCAGCATTTCATCCACATTGAAGGAAGCGCGTGTATGTCTCCCTCATCTTCTCTTAGGCTGTAATTATGGAAACCTCTATGCAGAGCCTTGTGTGCCTTTTTCATAAGCCCCATATGTTAGGCAATGCCCAAGGGAGCCGTGAGCATTTCCACATTTGACTACGTCAGGACCCTCATCTTCCGCCTGCTGACTTCTTCCCTCCCAAAACTGGAACTTGTGTATATTTTTTATAAAATTTGTAAATCAAATTACACCTTTCTTATTTAAGCGTCTTCCTATCTATATGGATTTTCTTGAGCTTTTTCAGACTTCAGTTTCAAGTGGGGTTACTTATAAACCTCAAGTGGGCCTGAGAAATGCATGTTACAGATTTTATAAAGCCAACCAAAACTACTGTGCTTGCACTCACTTCCCTTTAAAACACTGAAGTAGCATTGTTTAGGAGGGTACTTCTCATGCTACAGGTAAGCAAACATGCGAGTACACAGCACATGCAAGATGACATCTTAGGCTGAGCTTAAGTATGTGCCTCACCTTCAGGGCTGTCCTTACTGAGAGCTCTATGACAATATAATTATGTTTTCATTAATTTGAGACCGTGGCTTGGGTGATGCCAATATCAATTCTAGCTATTTTTCTGTGAGCACTTTTGTTTGATAAATTATGCTGTTTCAGGAAAGTTCACTTAATTTTTTTAAACAAAAATTAAAAATATCTATAATTTCCACACATTATATCAGAAATTTCAGTGCTGAGCATGGTGGTCCAGGCCTGTAATCCTAGCACTCCGGAGGCTGAGGGAGGAGGATCACCATTAGTTTGAGGCCATCCTGAACTACAGAGCAGGACCCTGTCTCAAAAAACAACAGCAACAAAGAAAAAGCATACTATTTGTCGTATTCAGTAGACAGTCCATTTTAGGTATCCTACATTACGAAGAAATATGTGTAACTAATTATTTGCTGCTTTATGGCTTGATAATTCCATATTGAAATCTGTGCTGAGAAGTAGAAATTTAAAAGACTTTTTTCTTATTTCTTTCCCTCGAGGTGGTCTACTACTATATTCTGAACTGTTATACATCTGACAGTGAACATTAATGAATTTAAATTCTATTATTCTGCAGATACATTACGTTCTCTATCAGGACTACAAAATGGGACTTTAGATTCCATATTAAACTGTAATGCTACAATCTCACTGAAGCATTTGAATCCATCATCTTATGTGAAGAGTGTCAGGAAACCAAAGCTTTTCCTGATACCCATATTTGTACCCATATTTTCTGCTGTTGCAATGACAGTATCTCTCAAGCTTTGGTGAGTGAAAGTGTGGACATGATATTTTCTGCACATTTGTGCTTTTATCAACAGAGACTCATTATCTGTCGTAACATGTCTCAATGCAAGATGATTTTCCCTCTGGACAATGATTTTCCCAAGCATTGCTGAAGATAAAATTCCTATTAAATGAATATGAATTTAAGTATGCCAACATGATAGCTCCTAGACTTAGCATAACCAAGTATTCTCCTGTTCAGTAAACATTTATTCAAAAATAGCCTTTGTGATATATTTTATGTCAATTTGAAAAATTATTTCTCTTCCAAATGAGGACTGTGTTTTGCATATCCCCTCAAGGGTAAATAACATTCCCATGGAAATAGCAGGAAGTCTGCTAACTCTGATCTGCTGCTCCTATTAATCTGGGCCACAGTCTAATACTTTTTTGGAGCCCCCCTTTTTTTCTCTAGATAGAGCCCAGAAAGATCTTTTGTGACTATATAAGTTGGACCCCACTGATTCTAGAAAGCCATGTTTAAAGTATTCCCTTTAATTTCAGAATGTTCAAAGACGTAGGTTAAGTATGCTCTCATATGAAGGTGGGTTTTCTTTTCCAGGAATTTTATCTTCTGTTCTCCTTTTGGCTGTATAGTCATGTTTTGATCTTAAAAGAGAAAGATTATCTTTCAGTTATAAGATGTCTCAAAAATTAAAAGGAAAAAGACCTTAAAGAGCTTTTTCACTAGTCTAGGTGAGATAAATAAAAAATATAAATATAAAATACTAGAAATTAATAAGAAATGTTCAAAAGCTGTAAGAGAAAATGGTAAAGACCAGGTAAAACCTAAGGATTATAAGTATCTCATTATCTCCCAAGTAATTTATAATGTACTGTCATTCTTATGAAAATTTCAGTGTTTTGAATTTGCTTTTATTTTTGAAGCAGGCACTTGTCCAAGTTATGATATAATTGTCATTAAAGGGAAAAAAAGCCTTAAATGCTTTTCAACAAAGAAGAAAGAACGAGTATCTTAATATCACAAGTCTTGGTGACCATAGCATTTCATTATGTGCTTCCAAAAAAAAAGTCTATTTCAAAACCATCTTTGACTTGTTTGTCTTTCTGGGGAATCGTCAATTTTGTTTCTTTTTTGTGGGAAGCATACAAAAGACCATGAAAAGACTATTATTGCTAACAGACATTCAGATATTCCTGCCCATTTCCTGGACCCTTTGCAGGTAAGGTTTATATAATTAGGTAAGTCAGAATGACAAACATATGCAGAATGAGATAAGTTCCTTCCACACCTTGTTCTTGAAAGCATTCTGTGCCATCTACCAGCTTGCGCATTGTGGGTGTGGTGGTCCTGGGTTCCAGACGGTGGCTAGAATTTGCGAGCAGCTTGCATCTGTGAGTCATTCCTTGGAAGTCAGCAAGTTGGGCAAGCTGCCTAACAGTTGTCAGCCCATGGCATGAGCAAAAAATAAATATCTACTGCATTTTAAAAACTTGACAAAGACTAGCAGATAAAAATGATAGATCTCTGTGCTCCTGCATTAGAAATCGATTCTTGCCTCACTCAACTCTTAAAACAGTAATTGAAAATTCAACTAAAAATGAACACTTGAGAAGCTGAAATATATTTTGAAGCAAAGTAAATGAGTAGTTATTACATGTTACATTTGGGAAACATGTTCCATTGAAGAAAAAAAATTCCAGAGAAAAAGAAGGCCATGCAATTGATGTATTTCGCTTTCTCTTATTAGGTTTTCCAGGGCAATTTCGACAATGACACCCACAGAAAAAATGTCATTGACCCTCCCATCTATGCACGGCACATAAGAATCCTTCCGTGGTCCTGGTATGGGAGGATCACGCTGCGGGCTGAGCTGCTGGGCTGCACGGAAGAGGAATGAGAAACCTGCACACTCCACGAACCTTTTTCTTTATTCCCCTAAAAGTATCTCCATGGAAGGAACTGTGCAAATCTGTAGGAAACTGAATGGGTTTTTTTTATTAATGAAAAGTGTTCAAATTATGGTAGGCCACCAACTGTCTTCTTAAGGAGGTCTAAGCCTGCCTTTTCAATGATTTGATTTTTATGGTTCAACTCTCTTAAGTAACATCACATTAACTGTGAATTACTTTTTTCATTGTTTTCAGAGTTATTTACATTGGTTGAAATACGTTAGGGAAAGAAAGTAGCCTTCTTTTTATAGCAAAGGTTAAAAAAAAAACCTCATAGTTATCAAATAAAAGAATAAGTGGATAGAGCTTTTACAAGTGATGCTTAATTCTTAATAAAAATACTACAATGTTAGCAATAAGTTTTTTTTAATGACTTTGCATTATCTTGTTCCCTGTGCCTAACACTCAGTGTTTATAATGGAATTTTGAAGAATCTGTAACATTCGGTACTAATTAATATTATAATCCTCATCTTACTTTCATTTTTCTAATTGGAGGTGGAGTAACTTTTTTCCCTGTTGACTCAAGTCTGTGTTCTTTACTTTGCTTTTTGCCTGACGGAGCCAGTATTTTTCCAATTGAAACCTTTCCTATTATTTGCCTAAAGCAAGTGTTGTGTTCATTTATATCTATAGAACATGATTGAATATCGATTGATCCATATTTAATATCAATTAAATGTTTTATTTTATTTTAAAGAAAACTGTAACTATGTAATTCCCCAGTGCTTCCTTTTTGAAGAGTTCCTTACTGTCATTTTGCTCCAAGGAACAAATAATTATTATGTCCCTGTAAATTTAAGTCTTTGTTTTCATAGTATTTAATTAGCCTTATATTTACTTTGAAATAATGGAGTAATGAATTCTTTGTCTATTTCAGAAGCATCTTGCAAACTAATATGAACACAGTGCCACATCATTTGGCCAAATGTACTCATCTTCCCACACTTCCTATGAAGCCAAACTTTTGTCATATTTAAAACTGGTGGTGGTTTCCCAGGAAAGCACATTCTGTAGTTATCTGTAATAAGCAAAGTATTTACTAAGGACAATATTGTACACCATTCTCAAGACAAAAATTGATTTCTATTTATTTTGCCTCAAAGGTCCTGAAAAAATAAGCAATTATCATAACAATTTGTTATTGATAATGGAGGGTTCATTGACATGTCTCTCAAATTAAAGCTCACCCTGCCTCCATAGAAGTCCTCAACCTCTAATTCATAAGCTTTACAAGTATTTATTTTATAAGGCTTAGACACAGAGTTATGGGAATTTTAAATAAGGGTCCTGGACAAGAAAGGATGGCATGTGTACAAAATATTAAGGTCCTGACTGACACAGAGAAGTTTTTTTTTCTTTAATACTTGTGCTGCATCACAAAAGCCACTAGACTGTTAATGTCCTGTGCGTCCCTGTGTTAACACCATTTCTTAATGATGTATATATGCAGTGCTCTTCGATCATGGTAAGAAGTTGAAGAGAAAGCCAATCCATTGACACATTTAGTGAGAAGCAACGAACTGATCTAAGGGGACTGACAGACCACATGGAGGTTCCAAGCTCACAAGTTTTCTACTTCAGGTTCTTATAAAATTGTGGAATTTAAGCCCCTGCTCAGTTTCCAACATCTTTCAGCAATGAATTATCACGTCCTCAGAATTCTCTTTTGTAGTAGACTAAAGCTGAGAATGCAAAAGATTTTTAAGTGACTACATTTTAATTCACATTATACATAATTACTAAGATTCAAAAATATCCACACACGAACAGTGCAGCCAGTGGTTCTGATTTCCTTTGGGGTTTAAATTTCTGAGTGTTTTTCTTTACACATGATGCAGGATTTTTATTTTAAGATTATATTTTAAATGTTATGAATAGTACTTTGTGTTAATTTACATTTCCAAGGTTATTCATGGCTTTGTGTGATATTTTGAATTTTTTATACTGATAGCTATTAAAAAAGAGTTAGTTAAAATTATATTTGTTACTTTTAGAAAGATGCTGAAATTGCTTTCACTTGCTTGTACATTTATTCTCTGTTTTATTTGCTCTTCACAATTCAGTGTATCCAATGGAATATTTGTCTCCTGATGACCAAAATAGATGACAGCAAAGAGACTCCCACATGTGGACATGTTCATAATTATTATGAACCAAACTTTCTGTCACTTGTGTCAACGATGTTATAATGAAGCAAATTTATTTGCTTTTAATTCTCACTGAAGTAAATCTTATAAGCAGAAAACAAGAATTATCTAACCTTCGGACTATATTAACTATCTTGTGTTAATTTTTTTATTTATGAAACTAAAAATTCATCCATCCCCATTTTATCTGTGCCCCATTGACAGCACTTATCAGTCACTCATGGCATTTAAGGTTGATTTTTTCTTTCTGAATGACTTCATAAAGATTGGGAGAATATTGAAGACTTGGGGTACTAATGTCTTTACCTTCACTAGTCAACAAACTATGAAATGTAGACTGAATGCTGGCTTGTGAAGGGTCAGTAAGTTCAAAAATAACTGAGACACGATAACCTTTGCAAATTTTCAAGCTGTGTAATATCCTAATGTTGTTTTATTTTTCTTTGTATATATACTTAAATCATGTAGGATGTTGTAAAATCAGTATGACATTGTCTAGTCTTTAAACTTCAAATAAACTTTTCAAAATCTGGGATACTTTTCAAGCGGTTGTAATTAAATGCATTTATAAGAAGACATAAATTGTGAATGCCCGTGACTCTTGACTACATGTCTGGTATCTTTTCTGCTTGTAAAAAACACTTAGACAGCTATAGGGAGAATAGAAATTATAAGGAACCTTCAAACATGTAATGATATGAGCTAACTTGGTCATTTCAAGATTATTGAAATGTATGCTTTCCTTGTGCTGCTTTTACTTGTAGAAATTTTGCTATTATCAGTTGAATCACTATTTTGTCTCTTGCATATGAAACTATTGTGCTCCATGACCAATCTGCCCACTGTTAATCAGGGGCTGTTGCTGTTGGTTCTGTGACTTTTCCCTGTTATCGATGCTCAGGAGCATAATGAAGTGAGAAATTCAGCAGTGTACAGTAACATGACACCAGCAATATATTTTCGAAGTAAGTTCAGCTGGAAAATCAGAACACTAAGCTTCTTCATAAATCCTCTTTTGGGCTCTCTGGAAGTTACTAGGAAAATATCAATCAAATGTACTTCCCACTTTTTTTCTATGTTATTAGAAGTCAAAATTTTGAGAAAAATTAAGATCTTAATTGTTGACTTCACTGATGTCTCAGTGAATCTCTTATAGCTCTTAGTGCTAAGTTGTATGTGTTTCTGTGTTCACACATGTTTTTAGGTAGTTATGTATTAACATGAATGGTGCAGTGGAGATCCATTGCTTGCCTAGCTTTTTCATACACACATACATGAGTGTTTCCATTGAGCCAATGTAGTTATACACATATAATTCTTATAAGGCCAATAGTGAGCCATGGCAACAGCCATACAGTACAAAATTCATTATTGATACTGAGAATTATTCAAAAAGAAATTTACAACTATGAGGCTTTGAAGTGACTGACTCAAGATGCCGAAATAAAAGAAGCCTTTAGACCTCCTAGGAGAAAACCTGGGGCGGTTGGAAAATGTTTCTAAAATGTGAAAATGACTTCATGAATGGAAAACATCTCTTACAAATAAAATTAAAATTTGACATGTCTAACACTGCAGCTTCAAATACATGAGTTAAAGATTTTGGTAAAGAAACATTAGTTTTTCCTGTAAGAAATACAGCGATTTCTGTCTCAGTTTCCAAGGAATAATTTTTAAAGAAGTGAACAGCCAAACTAATATGTTAGTTACTTTTGAAAAAAATATTGCCTGTACCCTTTGAGATTCAAAAGGACCCTTTTATCTGAGCAGGTGAAACAGAATTAACCTACTTTGCCAGTGGAAAAATGTCTCAGCTACCATGAACCAAAGAACATTCAGATTTGTCTTTACAAAGCTGAAAAATACTCAGAGTAAGTCAGAATTTTCCTGTTGCATTTGAAGCAGGAAATAGGGTTCCTTGATTCTGTTATGGTAAATACCTATAATTCAACAGGATATTTCAACGTGACTGCCAAATAAACTGTTTTCCACAGTAGGCAAGTGGCACGCACCCAAGAGCTATTTCTGTTACCTGAACTCGGTGATAGTAAGGAGAAAAAGGTTTTGGAAAAGATGCCTCATTGGTTGTTTTTGCATAATGTGGCAAAAATTGAGTCATTTGAAGACAGTAATGCTGTGGAAGTATGGTGGAGCAGAACCAGCAAAGGGTCACCGCATCCAACGGTTAAACGTTGCATATGGTGATTGACTTTGATTTAATTTTATTTTCCTGTCCTCAAAAGGATGAACCACACAATTCCATATTTATCTGAAGTCTCTAGTGTGCCCTTCTTATGCCCACATATAAATATGTTGATAAAGATGATGAATCATAACCTAAGCTCACTCTGCTACCACCTGGAACAGCAGAGGCGGCAGTGAGACTGATGGTGCCTTCCAACAATGCATCCCCCATGGCCAATATGCAACCAGCTTTGTGATCATTTATGTAAGCACAAGGCCAAGGCAACATTGAAAATTAACAGGATGACAACTGGGAGCAGACTGAGTGCATAAGACAAGGAACAGAAGTGACTGCGTGATAGATGACCAAGTGGAAAACATACATTCACGTAGATGTTATAATGGCTCCCCTTTTTAGTGACATAGCAGAGATTGAAAAGAAAAAAGTAACTGAAAGGCTTTGCCTTTCTGGAACAGTCCTAGCAGAACTGGGGCTCTGACAAAAAGTATCCCACAGAGGGAAGGGCATCTTCTGCCTAAGCCCAGAAAGAGAAACTGAGCAAAGGAGTCAAAAGGGGCATAGCAGGAAGGAAGCACAAAAGTATCAACAAGCAACTTTCACTCCTTGGTTCTCAGGGTTCTTAGTTAATAATATGTTACACAAATACATGTTGTATGTTGACAGCAGAGATAGCTCTAAAATAAACCTGTTTTCATTATTTAAATGTCTTGGTAAGATTCTTAGGGCATGTGGACTCAGGCATCATGAGCATGTTTAATCAATATTAAATAATGCATTTAAGATGGCTGATGCAAATAAATTAATGAGTTAGGACTAGGTTTTTTTTTCAGTTAAGTGCACTAGGACACAAGAAGAAGGGAAAGTAGCAGAGGTAAGGGAGAAGAGAAAAAAATATAAGTCCATTGTAAAAATTATTTTATGAAATACTTTATATTCATATATATGTTATATAACATATCTGCTATTGATCATGATATAACTTATTATTTTTCTAACATTAAAACATGCTCAAAAAATAAAAAAATAAAACATGCTCATCTAAGTCAAAATCATTGTAACAGGATCAGCAAGCTGCCCTCTACCTGGGTGGTGTCACTGGCTGCGAGGTTTTGCTCTGCTGGTGGCTGGTGTGAGTCTGCAGCCAGACCCTGCCAATAGAAGGCTGTTGGAGGCTTGGGAGGGAGAGGAGAGGTTTGGCGCTGAGAGCCTGAGTGAGCTTCTCAGAGAAGCAGAGTTATGAAATGAGACGGTGTGGACTTTTTTGCCTCTGCCTCCCTACCCCATAATATCAGGGTGCAGGACCGGTTTCTCCCTCATTGCACTCAACTATTGGTTTTTCTAGGAAATGTGCACCCAAGTTCTGGGTGAGACCTGGAGGCTCACATGCGGCATGAATCAAGGCTGACTGTGGTGGGCCTCTTATTTTGGGTGACACAAAACACAGGCCCATGGGTTGTTTTGTTTTGTTCTGTTTTGCAGTTACAAACAGCACATTATTTTTTCATTATTAAGTTGATGGGTCCATTTTAGGTATACATAATGATCATGTTCATCATTGGGAATTTGTACCTGTACATGATATATCTTGATGCTTCTTTAAGTTTGGTTTTGTTTTAATAGATTTTGGTATGTTCTAATGATATTTTTCTACGGTCATTTCTGGTTTAAAAATTTATAATCTGAATCTTTCTATATCATCATTTTGACTTTGTAATCCTGTATTTCAGAAAGTCAACCTACTGCTCCCTTGCTTGAGCATTATTCTACCCAAGGTTATATCACAAATTCTTATGTCTCTCAATTGCAGCCTTAGACTGCAATTCAGATGCTGTACAAATATCAAAATATGTTTTCATTTTCATCAGACATAAAAATCATATTTCTTTCATAAGTAACACTCTGGAGAAACACTCTGAAGAAAATACCCACCTTTTTCTTTGTTAATCATTCTTTTAATTTAAACTTTATTTTGTATTAACCTAAAGATGGGACTGAGATAATAAACCAAGACAATCATAACAGGTTCTATGTTTAAAAATGTACTCCATGTACAAACAGAAGACAGAACAGAAAAACCTATCCCAGTCAATGAAGCAGACCAAAGGAGACATCTTAGGGCATGCATATCTGGAGAGTCACTAAAACTGTCAATGTTATTTGTGATCCACAAAATATCCACTGTGTTATTCATAACCACTTGTGGAAAAATAAATGAACATATCCTCTTTGCAAAAGAACAAGAAAAAACTGAATGAGATTAGTTTTACCTAAATTGCAGGATTATGATTTGTGCCTAGATCTAATTGGTTCCCTCAAGCCAGGTAAAATTATCTTTTCTAACCCCAAGGGCATTGAAAACATGTTTCATTTCACAGTAGGAATGACCTGCTTTAGCCAAATAGTTATGACTTGTTTATTCTATGGTTTTTCATATGCTGTTAAATAAATTAAAACACCAGTATTATCTAATAACACACCTGTGAAATAATTGATTATTAGATGAAATGTTAATTGTTGCATGAATATATTTTTAATAATCCAGCAGTGACTGAACAAAAATGAACTACTGGGGGATATTTGATAACGTTAATGTTTTAAAGGTGAATAATAAACCCAATATGTCAAAACATCTGCTATTAAAAACACTGGGAATGGACTATTCCCTTGTACAGAACATGCACTCTTCCATGTAATAACCAAAAATATTTATGCCTAACATTTCTCACTTACTAGAGTTCAATTTGAATCTTTCAGTTTCATGATGGTGTGGACACCGCAGGCATGCAATAAAACCTGAACTTCAGAACTTGGTCTTTCCCTGCGCTAAGCACAAGCCACAGGGCTCTCTCTTGAAACACTGGACAATGAACCGAAACTCCTGGTCGGCTATGAAATTGTGAGGGATAGTTGCAGACACTCCCCAGTGTGCACCCTGCCAGTGTTTCCTGAACACAGATATTCCATAGATTCCATGAGATATTTTGACCCTGAATTATAAAATACATTTTGTGTCCATTTCTTTTTCCTTCCTATAAATTGGTGTAAATGTTTTGATCACCTTTAAGATAGGGCAAGGCTATTCAATGGTGCTGGATAGGCATATAAAGTGTACTATTTTGCTATGATAATTTCAAATTATAATACACTCACCAGGACACAAATTCATAATATGTTGCAGAGCATATATATTTAAGAAAAAAATTGAAAATAGTACTCTATAGATAAGTAGTTCCATTTTTAGGAAAGAAATCCAAAAGCACAAAGAAAATATAAAACCACCATGCTTTGACTTCTAGTTCCAACAGTTAAAGAGTCATTATATTCTGAATTAGAAGATGA